GAATGGGCAGAAAACAGGGTTGAAAGAGGGAGTGAGGGAGAAGTGAGAGTATAAAGATGACAGAGGGTAACTTACCTGGGGACTGGGTTACCCTTGGCCTCACACTTCAGAAAAACATCTTCCAGGTAGAAGGCTGTGTAAGACTCAGGCTGAGATGTGATTACTGGAGGCTGTTTGACTACACATGGTTAGAGTGTACAGAAAGTAAAGCCATAATGAAAAACAGATAAACAGTCTTCAACAAATCCAAATAAAACATTTTATTACTTTATAAAGTACTTACGGTTGTTAATTACATCTGTCCGGCCACAGGAAAGCAGAAGGAGAAAGAAGAGACAAACAAAAATTAAAGACTGCATTTAACAAACAGTACATGCTTCTATCACGCTAAACTCTAGAGCTGTTATCCGTTATTAATCTCAAGATTATTACCCAACACCTGCTATGAATTATTCAGTAACTATTGAATGAATGAAGAACTGAAGTGTGGATCCACATACAGACTCTGTGAGCAGCAGTAGGCAGTTTATCAGAAATTCTTCTTATGGTATTAGGTTGATCATAGCATTCCTAGCAATAATGAGCGAAGCTAACTCAATGTACGATCAGTCCAGATGAATGGATGAGCAGAGTTGGGATGTATCGAAACACAATTATTGGGAACGCATGATCAGAATACAGAAATTATCTGTATTCAGTCCACCTTACATTTGTAAAGGCAGTATTCAGAATATGGCTACTTTTACATTTTTAGGAGAATACTTTTATAATAATTACCCACTAAATTTTAAAGTATATACCATCTTTAAAAGAAACACCATCAGTGCTTGTTAAGCAACTATTTTAAAATGAGCACACAGAGTGTAAAGATTTACTTTAAAGAAGAACTCAACTTTGGGTGCCATCTGGGGTGGCCAGTCAGATTTTTGGCCACTGCGGCCACCCCTACAGAACCACTCATGCAGCCACTAAAAATAGACGAGTGCGCTGGAGGATCAAACCTCTTTTTGGTAAGTCAGGTACATCATTACCCATGATCCAACGCTCCTGCTAACAAATAATGGAAGTTGATACCTCACTGATTAGCATCTTGCAAACTATTTGCTGTTTTCATGCACTCCATGACACACTGCTATCTATAAAATGGACAAAAGCACAGACAGATTTCTAGATGGCAGTTAGCGTTTTTAACTATGCATGAGTGGACAGTTGTGTAACAGTGAGTGAGAGCAAGTGAAAAAAAGGATTAAAACAGAGCCCATGTTTATAGGTAAAATATGTCATACAGTGTCAGAAACAGTATAGCACCATGCTTATATGTGGGGTACAAGCTTCCATAAATTGTTAGCTACATTAGCCTTGAAGCTCTAGTGCAAACCTAAAGAAGCAAACTTCAAGTCAAGTCAAGTCAAATTTAATTGTATAGCGCTTTTTACAACTGATGTTGTCACAAAGCAGCTTCACAGAAATCCATTAAAGACAAAGTTTTAACATGAAATGTAAATCCTCCAAGTGAGCAAGCCAGGGGCGACAGTGGCAAGGAAAAACTCCCTCAGAGCTGAGAGCTTGGGAGGAACCAAGGCTCACATGGGGGGACCCATCCTCCTCTGGTCAAACTACCTACAAAATTATTATACTACTAATATTAATAGTAGTAGTAGTAATAGTAGTAATAGTAGTAGTAGTTAGGAGTCCATGAAAACAGTGTAGAGTGGGAGTGTGCAGCTAGTCCAAGTCAAGTGGCGGTAGCTGGGCAAGTGGCGGCGACTGGGGCGTGGGCAACTGGTCTGAAGCGGATAGCAGGAGAGCTCCACAGACAATCATCCATCAGTGTCCGTCCGGCAGGTGGGCAGTCGTTTACTCGGAAAAAGGTAGGGAGATGGAATTAGTTTTGTTCTACTTCAGACAACGAAATATCTCCAGAGAATGTGTCAATTTTATTTTGCTAAGTTATTGCCTTAAAACTCACAGTCTTTGGGTATGTGGATGCCTCCTTGGGTTTGTCCCAGAAGGAGTAGCAGAAAAACAGAGAACAGCCGCTGAAGGCTGGGGGCTCTGAGTTGCCCTCTAGTGCTGCCAGTTGACATTGTGCTGGAGGCATTGTTCAGTGTCCCATCAAACATCCACCCTGTGTTCATCACTCACATGCACTTATACAGACACACACCACTGCACTGCGTCTAGAGTGTGTTTGAAGAGAATGGATCTTCTCTGGATCTCCGGTCCACGCCCTTCTGCTGTGAAAGAGAGAAAAGGAGAACGGGAGAGGCAGGGCAGAGAGAGACAGAGAAGAAGGTGGAGAGAACATGGAAAGGAAAATAAAAAAGATAAAGAGGAAGAAAGAAAAAGGACAGAGAAAGACAGAATTAATCCCAGAATGACTTGACTACCAATTTCTTGAACAAAACCTTTTCCGATTCTTTCCTTTCACCTCTTTCTGCAGCCACTGTAAAGAACATTCTGCTGTCAAATGGAAATTCACTCAGATATTTTGAATTAATGTGATCAAATAAAATATTTGTATCCCATAATTCTGTTATCAGATGAACTAGGACTAGAAGATCTACTAGAAGATGAACTAGAAGTTGTTTCTCTGTGTGTGAAATGATGTGACACTGTGTTGAGCTGCTAGTGAGCAATTAGGAGCGGAATGGGAGTAGTGAAAACCCCTCTGCTGTGAAAAACAATTTACATCTCTCCACAAAACAGCCGTGCCTAGCTAAATGGACACTTGCAGCTTTCTTCATATCAAACAATCCTCCACAACGGACACAATAAACACACAGCATTTAAATAAAATTGAAAACTTTTATAAATGTTGACCTGCTTGGAAGCTGCAACAGACATACTAAATACTGAAAATTATATTATTATATTTAGCCATTATTTATTTGTTTATTGTTGTTATATTTAGGTGTTGTGGCTTCTGTATACTTTTGTGTTTAAATATATGTTTTATGATTTTTTCTGACACTGAAAAATGAAAAAGAGAGATTTTTTGGTGTGTTGGGTGCTCGCTTCCTCCTTCCCCTTGCTGCGTATGTGCTGTGTCCTGACTCTCTGCCTCAACTTCTCTGCTAGATGCTGTGACTGGCTTCGCTTGTCCTGCCTCCAAGGCCAGCGTCTTCTTCCAGAGGTCGAGCAGGCCCCAGCTGAGTGCTGAGTATGTACACATCCCATATCGCCATCCGCCTGTAAGTTCATTAAAGTGCCATCCGCTTGCCACTTGTCAGCACTGTCCCTCCTCTGACACCAGTGTGGCTTCAGTGTAGAAGAAGATGCAGGAGAGGTCGTTGTTTCTGACACAAGAAGTCCTCTTTTATTCACACCAGCAGAAAAGGCACATGCAAACACCGCAGATGGTCACTTCTAGCCATCAGTTTATCCACACGGTAGATACACTAACACCCATCTCACCCACAGCTCAACATGAAATAGCGCAAACAACAAATAAACACACCTTATGTCAATAAACAACAACAACAGCAACAATAACAGCCACAAATGTTTCATTTGTTTTGCACGGCACACGCCCCCACCAAACAATTTTTTGAAACACAGCCTGTATGGTGGTGGCCACAATTTCTTACAGTCTAAATCAGCAGTACAGAAACATCTGGCGCTTCAGAGATGAAGGCTTTGCCCTTTACCCCAAAATATAGTTAATCAGCTGTTTGGTGTCCTGCTTTATAATATTATCTGTACAGTGGACAAACATAGAGACAGAATTCAGGCTTTTTAGCTACATTACATACTTTAGTCCATGTTTATAGATAACAGTGCACCATAAAGTGTCAGAAACCACATAATCAGTTATGGGTATGGAGCTGATATGATCAGAAAATGGCTGATGGGATACAGGAGGTAATAAAAAAGAAGGAATGTGAGCCAGGTTTTAGCATCATACTCTACCTTTAGATCAACATCTTAAGTGAAGAGCTTCAGCTGAAAACAACTCATTTTGATGCTCAGTAGTTTTTAAGAAAAAAATGGTGTTCTTAAGGAAACTAGTGGTCTTTCTTGGAACCCATTAAGCCAATTCCCATTACTAAGCAAAACTGTTTTAAGGCTTACATTTGTTTCTGCCAAACTATTGTGTCAACATTCTCCTCATTTGGTGGTGAACTCTACTAAACTGTGTACAAAAATCACATTTGGACACTGCTAAATGTGTACATTAGTGAACCACAATGTTATTAGTAAATGACTGTGAGCTGTAAATGTCCTGGTGTGTTTAATAATGGAGGTGATGTGGTGGGACAGCTGCGCCTCACACACACACACCCACCCACACTTCACCCCCTTTCCAAACCCTGTAATTACCCTGTGTATCCCGGCCCTGCATCCCTCCCTCTGAGCTGTACGCTGTTGTAGTTAAATCCCGTCCCATCAACCGGCCTATTGTCATTCACCACCTCTCGACCGCACACACTCACACACTCTTTGTAGTGCAGTAACACACTCAGCATGTATACATGCTCACACATGCTTGCAATGGTATCTTTAATCAGAATTTGTTTTATTAATAAGAGACTGCTTATAAGGTTTTCAGCTAATAAAACAGAATATATATATACTTCCGTACATTGTATCAGGATTAGAAGATGAATAGACAAACAGAAATGGACCAAAATTAAAAATCCATTAAAAATAAGAAGATTAAGATTTTTCATTCTCCTGTAAACGTACCTTTTTGGAAATACAAGGCTTTGTAGCTGATATATCATTGCTGTAGGAATCTCCCATTTCTCAGAACCTCCATTTTTGTTGTTTTTCAATTTTTTAAATTAATATGAAAATGCCTGTTGCCACTGTATTTAAATGTTTATTGATGACTGGACCAAAAGAAATGGCCCAAAATGACTTGACTTACATAAAAGTAATGCCCTGCGATGGACTGGCAAGCTGACCAGGGAGCTTCCTGCCGGCTCCAGCACCCTCCGCGACCCAGTATGATAAGAGGCTCAGAAAATATGTGTGTGTGTATATATAAGTATGCATTCATGTGATGTTGCCTTTATATTTGGTGGAAATAAGGCACATTAGAAGACAGCTGACTTATGCTGCCCTCAGAATGGGACAGCTGCCTCCCGAACAGAACGCAGCACATACTAAAACGTTCAATCAATCAACCTTTATTTTCACTCAGAAATACCTTTAGAGTGACTCTCATTTTCAATGCAGCCAAGCATTTACAGCATTAAAGGGATTGAAAAAGAAATTAAAACGAAATTTAATTAGATTATAGTAAAATGAACAAAACTAAAACAAATTAACAGAAAAACCAGACAAGATAAATGCCAAAAGAATTAAGAGAACAATTAAGATTTGACTAAGAAGGAGAAATGTAAAATAGAACCAACACAATACACCAATTAATCAATTAAGATTTCAACATAAAAGGATAAATAGGCAAATTAAAATTCAAAACAAGTAAAAGGACTTTCTCCTTTTTATTTAATTTATTATTAATTCATTATTTTTTATTATTTCTATTTTCTTCCCAATAAGTTTATTTTTCTTTTATTTTGTTTCATTTCATCTCATTTTATTTTAATTCGATTATTGTTTTCATTTATTTATTTTTATTTCCTTTTATAAACAAAAATGTTACAGGCCAAAACTCTCTCACCTTTAACAGCAACTTCATACGAAACACCTGTCTGTCTTTTGGTGTCTCTAAAGTCATGTTACATTCCCTCCACTCCAGTGTTTGTTGGCTGAGTTGGAAAGTTTATGTTCTGCATAAAGTCCTATACTATCCATCATCTACTAAAGAAAATATGGTACTGATCTAAAGATGTTTTTACTTCAACTCCTCCCACAGGTATAAAATTCTGGTGCAGTGCTGCCCCCTAGTGGCTGTACTTGGATGAGTTTTTATTCTGGAGAAATGCTCTAAAAATTTTATTGTCACATTTTGTCTAATTGCACACTTGTAAAGTTAGCTATAGGTTAAAGACCTTCTGGAAGGCTATGTATATATCAATTAGAAAACCCTTAACATTAGTTACCTTTACCTTTCACCTAACTACCCTAACAAAGCCAAGCCAGTTTCACTTTTGTACGCCTATCTCAAGTGTGAAGAAGTGGAGAAAAAACAGTAAAACTGAAACTTCCCTCCTCTTCAGTAGAGTCGGTACATTCCACCTGCTTTGGGTGAGATTTCCACAGTTCATCAATACAGTTATACGCAGCAATGTGTTCCATTAGTATAAAACATTTTTAACTTCACACTAGCAGTAGGATTACACAAATACCCAAAACACACAGTTCGTGGGCTGTGCAAGCATAGAAGATATACCTGCATACTGCCATGACTGCTCGGCATTATTACATAAAAGCCTATTTATGAAAGGCAGCATAAATGGCGGAGGTCAAACGATATTGAAAATGAATTTAAGTGCATTATCCTGTTTTGGTGCACTTCCCCTTTAACATCACCTTGTGTCATAAAAAGAAACAAAGACCGATACCCGAGTAAAAAAAAGAAGACAGACTAGTTTCATTTCTCCTTTTTCCCCTCCGGCTCATTCTAGCCTCCCTGAGTCGTATGACTGAAAGCGCATGTTGCTCTGCTGTGAATAATATAAGGTTCCCCTACGTTTGTCTTATGAATAAGGTCACTTATTCCAAGAATTTGAGTCATTCTAACATGGTTTTCACTGAAATGCCCTCAGAAGCTCCCTCACGGTCAAGTCTTCATGATCTAAATCTGAGTCAGTGAAGCAGAAATCAAGACTGCATTCTGTGCCGCTGCTCAGGGCCCCTTGAGCCACCAAGGGCCCCACGGGTACGTAGTTTTTTCAGGCTAAATCATGATATTGATTTTACTTTAGTTTTTATTTTATTTGTATTTATTTTATTTACTTTTCCTGCCTTCCGCTCAATGACCGCTGGGATAGGCTCCAGCAACCCCCGCGACCCAGGAGGATAAGCGCCTTAGAAATTGTGTGTGTGTGTGTGTGTAATTTGTTTACTATGAACTTATTTGTACAGACCTGGGGTGCCAAAATGTTTTGTTTTGGGGCATCACAGTGCAATGTTTGTGGTGGGCCGAGAGCCAAACCGATAAAATATACATAGATGTTTTTAAGGTTTTTACATTTTTATTTTTAAAACATCACACAATATTTTTTGTGGGGCTAGGCTAGGTGGGTCACTTGTATAGACTTTTTAATTTCTTAGCATTTATTAAACTTTTAATGCTTAATAAATAATTAAGCCTTCGTTCATTTTCTTTCATGCAAAATATTATGATTAGGGAGGGCAGGTGGGGATGTAAGATATTACTTGAGTAGGATTTTGCTTGGCGACAGGTGGGGGCCTCCAAGTAGGATTTCGCTTAAGTGTGATGTTGCTTAAGGCATGAGGGAACCTGGAAGTAGCATGTTGCTTAAGTGTGACATCACTCAGTGCAGGTGGGGGCCTAAGTAGGATGCCACTTAAGTGGGATGTTGCTTAGGGCAGGTAGGGGCCTCCAAATAGCATGTTGCTTAAGTGTGACATCACTCAGGGCAGGTGGGGGCCCCAAGTAGGATGTCGCTTAGGTAGGATGACGCTTAAGGCAGGTGGAGGCCTCTAAGTAGGATGTAACTTAAGTGGAATGTCGCTTAGGGCAGGTAGGGGCTTCCAAGTAGGATGTCGTTTAAGTAGGATGCCGCTTAGGGCAGGGAGGGCCACCAAGTAGGATGTTGCTTAAGTGGGACGTCGCTCAGGGCAGGTAGGGGCCTCTACGTAGGATGTCACTTAAGTGGGATGTCATGTAGGGCAGGTGGGGGCCCCCCGAATAGCATTTCACTTAAGCGGTGTGAGGGACTTCCAAGTAGGATGTCGCTTAAGTGGGATGTTGCTTAAGTAGGATGTTGCTTCACCAGGATGTTGCTTTCTGGGAAATGATATTACAGTGAGGGCCAAGGGCTTAGGGCCTGACAGACACTGGGACCCTTCTTTAAAAAATTGAAATTTAAAAGATTTCATTTATTTTTACACACACAATGTTTGGTTGAATAATTCAAAGTTGCATTTTAGTAATGCTATCCAAGTGACTAAATTCTCAATACTGCAACATAGTAATATTTGAAGATAAATCTGTAAACATTGTTTTTTGTTTTCACCGAACATTTCTTTTCATTATTTTTATACTGCTGGATTAATTATTAAAACAAACATTTTTATAAAATATAGTATTTTGTAGTTTTATCTCATTGCTGCAAACACACCCTGCAGTGCTGAGGTTTTTCCTTTTACTTGTTCACTTCTTTTAACATTAAAGCATTACGTTACAGAGATTTGACAGTGAAAATGTGCACACATTCTTTGTTTTCCAATGACAAAAAGAAAGAAGCTGTATGAAGTTGATCTACTGAATAATATAGCTTATCACCACCTAAATCCCCTAAACTCAGACCCAAATGTAGGTAGTTTATGTTACGTCATCCACCAGAAACAGAACTCAACTCGCTTGTGTTTTCTCCACCTGTATTCCGACAAAACCCACCTGATTCTCGGCCTGCGTCTGAACGTGAACTACTTGCTAATCCTAGCACAGTACTAGGGGCGCTACAGCCAATCATAGCGCAGGAAGACGGGGCTTGTAGGAATGTAGGCGGGGAAACAATAACGCGAAGAAAAGGAAACTGATCAGAGTTTTTTCCCCACATTTGATGACCTCATAACTTAATAATTCACTTTTTGTTTAATTTATTTAGCCGGATATTTAGTAATTTCTGGCCTTTTTAAATGTCTCTAACAGCCTACAAATGGCAAAACCAACCTAGAGGTATTTTCACACTTAAACAAGATAGCTCTTCAAAGGTTCTTTAGTAAAGGGGATAGTTCTGTTTAGAACCATGAACACTCAAACAACCATCTTCATGTTTAAATGGTTCTTTGCATGGTGAAATGGTTCTTCAGATGGAGAATGTGCTGTATGTGGTTCTATATAGCGCCAAAAAGGGTTCTTCTATGGTATACAAGCTTAACATAATAACAATAACAGAACCCCTTTTTGTGCTAAATAAAATCATATACAACACATTCTCCACCAATCTGAAGAACCATTTCACCATGCAAAGAACCAGTTATGCACGAAATGGACTTATGGACTTAAAACTAATGGTTTTAAACGGAAGCATTCCTTTTACTAAAGAACCCTTGAATAACCATCTGTTGTTCAGTGTGTAGGTTTCGTTTTAGCTTAATCACACCTGCAGCGCTCCTCACTGTGGATTAACACCTGAGCTTTAACCCACTAGCTTGGTTTGTTCTTGACTCGCAGGCCGGTTTAAGGCGCTCTGGGCCCAGATCAGCTTTAGAGAAGTGCGTTGGGAGGAAGGCCGGTCTGTCTTCTCGCAGGAAAGCGAAAGTGTTTCTCTTCATAGTTTTACTTTCGGTTTGAGTCACTGCTTATTAAGACTCTTTTGCATCGCACATGTGAGCACACACTGTCTCAGTCCAAAGAGCTTGTGAGTTTTAATTAAAATCTTTTCCAGTCGATTTGCTGTATCTGCTCTGTCTTTGTGGAGTTGTAGACTAGCCTGGAACCCGGGACAACTCTCCATCTTCACTGTAAACGCGCTAAACTCTAGAAATGTGTTGCTCACGCTTAGCTTAACTGTCGCTGTGATTCTTTCAGGTTCCACCGCTTTATTCTTACCTGTATGTGGTGTTCTAGTGTTCTGGCCGGTGTACGTTTATATTAATCGATGGAGGAGCAGGCAGGCAGACACATGCGCCTGAGGGAATGGCTCATAGCGCAGATTGACAGCGGCCAGTACGCTGGTCTCAGCTGGGAGAACCAGGAGAAAACCATGTTCAAAATCCCGTGGAAGCACGCAGCGAAACAGGACTACAGGCAGAACGAGGACGCAGCGCTGTTCAGGGTGAGAGAACGTAGAAAAAGAGCTCAAAAACTGATTTCCATTTTCACTGTATAAGTGCCATTTTCACTGGATTAATGCCAATTTCACTGTACTAATGCGAATTTCATGGCACTAACCCCGTTTTCACTGTACTAATCCCAAATTCACTGCAGTAATGCCACGCTGACTGTACTAATGACGTACTCACTGCACAAATGCCATATTCACTGCAGTAATGCCACATTCACTGTACTAATGCCATTTCCACTGCAGTAATGCCACATTCACTGTACTCGTGCCACATTCACTGTACTCGTGCCACTTTCACTCCTCTAATGCCATATTCACTGCACTAATGCCACATGGACTGCACTAATACCACTTTCACTGTAGTAACCACATATTCACTGTACTAATGCCATTTTCACTGCACTAATGCCACATTCACTGTGCTAATGCCACATTCGCTGTATTAATGCCACTTTCACTGCACTGCCATATTTACTGTACCAGTGTCCTTTTTTCTGCACTAATGCCATATTTGCTGTACCAATGCCCGTTTCACTAATGCCGTATTTACTATACTGATGCCATTTTCACTGTTCTAATGCCATATTTACTGTACCAATGCCATATTTAATGCACTAAGGCCACATTCAGTGTACTAATGCCATTTTCACTGCAGTAATGCCATTCACACTGTACTAAAGCTATATTCACTGTACTACTACTCTTCACTATTTACCATAATAATTACTCATTGTACTAATGCCATATTCACTTTATTAATACAATTTTCACTGTACTAATGCTGTACTCACGGTACTAATGTCATACATACTGTGCTAATACTATAATCACAGTGCCAATACTATACATACCTACTTATAATATATTCACTGCTCTAATGCCACTCAATGCTACTGTAACTGCACTCTTGACTGCTCTGATGCCATTCCCTCTGTCTTAATGCCACTCTGACTATCCTAATGCCACTCTGTTTTAATACACCTTTTAAAACCTTACTGCCCCTCTGACTGACCTGATGTTGCTCATTAGCTCGCTCTGTTTTCAGGTCTGCTGTTTTACAGTAAACACTGTAATCAGAGTTGTGTTCTTTTCTGTGTGTGTGTCTGTGTGCGATCCACTGCAGGCCTGGGCTGTGTATAAGGGAAAGTATCGGGAGGGCCGGGACAAAGCGGACCCCTCTGCGTGGAAAACGCGCCTGCGCTGCGCCCTCAACAAGAGCACAGACTTCCAGGAGGTTCCAGAACGCAGCCAGCTGGACATCTCAGAGCCGTATAAAGTTTACCGCATCCTGGAGGATTCAGAGAAACCCACAGGTACCCACAGCTCACCTCTTGGCCTCTACTGCTGTGTCTTGCTCTTTCTTTTTTTCTTTCTTTCTTTCTTTCTTTCTTTACTCCTTTTTCCTTTCTTTCTTTATTGCTTTACTGCTTTTTATGTCTTCCTCTTTATTACTTTCTTTCTATTCTATATTTCTTTCTTTCTTTTTTCCTTTTCTCTTTGTTTCTTTGTTTCTTTTCTGTATTTTTTTCTTTCTTTCTTTATCTTTCTTGCATTTTTTATTTTTTGTCTTTCTTTCTTCCCTTCTATCCTTTTGTCTTTCTTTGTTTCCTTTTATCCCTTTCTCTCTCTTTCTTGCATGCTTTTTTTATCTCTTCTGTCTTTCTTTCTTTTTCTTTCTTTCTTTCTTTCTTTCTTGCATTCTTGCTTTATTTCTTTTCATCTTTTCACTTTCCTTCTTTCTTTTTAAATATCTTTTTTTCTTTCTTTTTCTTTATTGCTTCTTTCTTTCTTCTTTTTATCTTTCTTTTTCTTACTTGAATTTTTAATTCTTTTTTTTATCTTTTTCTTTCTTGCCTTTTATCCCTTTATCTTTCTTTCTTGCATGCTTTATTTCTTTTTTATCTCTTTCTTTCTTTCTTTCTTGCGTTCTTGATTTATTTCTTCTCGTCTCTTTCACTTTCTTTCTTTCTTTCTTTCTTTCTTTCTTTCTTTCTTTCGTTTGTTCTTTTTCTCTCACTTTAACATGCTGACAGTGGATCAGCGAAATGTAATAATCCTGTTTTCTGCTTTTCTCCGTGTCTCTAAATGTAGACCTCCTTGCGGGTTCAGTGAAGGTGCAGATGAGCCAGATGTGCAGAGCGCTGAGGGAGCCTAACTCAGTTCAGGTAATGCTGGTCACTGCAGCAGCTCTGATGACTGGAAATCCCCTCAAGCTCAGGGTGTGAACTCCAACGAATGTGAAACTAAACGTGTGATTCAGAATGTGTTTCTGCCATCTAGTGGACAGAATATAATCTAGTCTGTGCATGTGCTGTATAGCAGAGGTGTTCAATCTTATCCACAAAGGGCCGGTGTGGCTGCAGGTTTTCATTCCAGCAAAGCAGCAGCTCACATGATCAGCAGTGTGAAGACTGAAACCAGATTAAACAAGTGGAATCAGGTGTTTTGAGTGAAGACCTGCAGCTACACCGGCCCTTAGCGGATAAAATTGGACACCCCTGCTGTATGGCCTGATTTGTATATTTATACTCACATTATTTTACATCTTCATGTTTGTTGGTAAATGTGATTTTAAAGCTGTGCATAATCTGAAAGACTCAACTTTGTCATATGTGTCTTGTTACATTTTGATATTTTTTAGTTCTCATTGCAGGATGGTATAAAAACTGAATCAGGAAACAATGGAGTGTCAATGGAGGGTCAGTGACTTTCTTAGTCTCCATTTAAAACAGCAAAATGATCTTCATTTAAAACAAGTATTTTTACCTTTGTTACAGCTTAGACGACTTTAAAACTCCACAGCTTTGCCTGATAAAGTTTATCGTTTCTACATTTTAAGTGCTTTATATTGATCACTGTTTCTCCCTCGTGTACGTGTATATGCGTGTTCCCATAACTTGACTGGTGATGTCATTTTTCTAAATGTAAACCACATCCACTTTTCTGTATGTATAAAACATAAATGATCTAAAGCATTTAAGATTTGTATGTTATATATATAATGCTTACTTTTTTGTGACCTATGCAAATGAACATTTATTGCAAGCACAGTAATACAGGTGATTGTGTAGTTTGTGCAGAGAGATGTGTAGAAGGGAGATTGGATCTGCACTGCAGTAACAGCGCTGCTGCCTGTGAAAACTCTGCTGCCGTCTATTTCTCTTTGTTGCCACCCCAGGGCTCCATCTCAGGTAAGAAACGTCTTTAGTGGGCCAATAACAGAGTCCTAGTGAGAAGTGTAAGCCTAAAATAAAGAAAAGTTCGAATAATGTGTAAGATGCAAACCTATCAACCGTAATGCTGCACTGATGCCACTCTGACTCTAACTCTAATTCTGCTACTGTCACTCAACATTTTATACTTATATTCTCACTGCTCTAAAGCTACAGTCAGCTTGAATGTCACTCTCACTGCTGAAATGCCACAGTGTTTGCCCTAATGCCATTCTATATAATATATAGGAACATTATATAATATATAATGCCACTATACCTACCCTAATGCCACTATCACTGCTCTAATGCCGCTCTCACTGCTCCAATGCTATAATGCCACTCTCACTACTCTAATGCTACAGTTAATGCTCTAATGCCACTCTCACTGCTGAAATGCCAGAGTGTTTGCCCTCATGTCACTCTGCATAATATATAGGGGCATTATATAATATATAATGCCACTATACCTATCCTAATGCCACTCTACTGCTTTGCTGCCACACTGACTGTCATTCTTATTGCTCTAATCCCACTCTGATTGCACTGATGCCAGTCTGCCTTAATACCACTATGACTGTTACTCCAACTGTCCTAATGTCAGAATTATGCTCTAATGCTTGTCTGGCTGTCATAATGCCTCTTTGACTGCTCATATGAACTCATAACCTTCAACCACTTTAATGCTACTTTCCCCCCATGCCATGCTCAGTCTAATTGCTCTAATGTCACTCTGACTGTTCTAATGACACTCTCACTGCTGAAATGACACAAGACTGCCCTTATGTAGTGAACCAGCCAAGACATGCTTGGTGTCTGAAATTTGCTTCTTTAGTTTTGCGCTGGAGTTACGAGGCTATGAAAGGTTATACCTCACCATTTAGCACTGTGCATTTTGTAAATGACAGTTTGTCATACAATGACAGAAATCACATGAGCCCGTCTATTTAAGATGTTTTTTGTGTTTTTTGCTTTTGTGTCTACAGACTTCAGACTACAGGTGTGCTTGTTTTACCATGGCCGACTGGTGCAGGAACTCATCAGCACTTCTCCTGAAGGCTGTTTTATCCTGCAGGGGTCTGCCCCGGTGGGCAGCGAGAGGATTTATGGGCCTTGTGCGGCTCAGAAGGTTTTCTTCCCACAGCTGGACGTCATATCCTTTGCCCCGGGCATCGGAGAGGCCATGAGCCGCCTCCTACCTCACCTGGAGAAAGGTGTGCTGGTGTGGGTGGCTCCAGATGGGGTTTTTATCAAGCGTTTCTGCCAGGGCAGGGTGTACTGGGACGGGCCTTTGGCTGAACACAGAGAAAAACCCAACAAGCTGGAGAGAGAGCGAACTTGCAAGTTAATGGACATGCAGATCTTCCTGCAAGGTGAGAAAGAGGGAAGCGGGGGGAGCGAGTGGGCGAGAGTTGTCCTCTCTCCCATGCTGCAAACCTCCTATTTTGAAAATAATTATGTTCATGGTACTAGCCAAAGGTTCTGATGCTAAAACATTCAACAGCTATAGTCAACAGCTCAGAGGCTAAAACTCTCAACAACTAGAAACAGCTCAGGTGCTAAAGCTCATGACAAGTAGGCACTAAAAGGCTGAAACTCTCAAAAGCTAGCGAGTTGGCTCAGAAGCTAAAACACTCAACAACTAGCCAATGGCTCTCCGGCTAGAAAACCAAAGCTGGTATATTTTGTTTTAAGGAAGCTGGTATGCTGGTCAACTAGCATGACCATACTGGGTGACCAGCATAAACCAGTATCAAACACCTTAAACCTGCACTGAATTCATTCATTTTTCAGCAGGGTCAGATCTAAAACCTTTGACAACTAAATACTCAGCAACTAGTCAATGAAGCAAAACACTTGGCAGCTAGCCAGTGGCTCAGTTGCTAAAGTATGAGATAACTAGCAAATGGCTCGGAAGCTAAAACATTTAACAACTACCCTGCTAGCATAAGCAGCATAGAGTAGCATAGCTAGTCACTAGCAAAACCAGCATATATTGTGTTTTGGTTACGGGTATGCTGGTTGACCAGCTAAACCAGCACCAGACCACCATAAACAAGCTTAGACCTGCTTAGACCTGGTCCAAACTGTTTTAGCCGCATAGCCAACAGCTCAGGTGTGAAAACTCTTAACAACTAACCAATGGCTCAGAGAACACTTGGCAACTGTCAGTGTGTCAGATACTAGAACACTTGACAACCTGACTGTGGCTCAGATGTTAAAACTCTTAACAACTAGCCTGTGGCGTTGATGCTGAAACTTTTGACAGCTAGCCAATAGTTCAAAAGCTAAAATACTTGACAACTAGCCAGCCAGGTGCTAAAACACTTAATTCAGTATCATTATATTTTTAAAATATTGTTTCAGCTGAGGCGGCATGGTGGGGCAGTGGGTAGCGCTGTCGCCTCACAGCAAGAATGGCCTGGGTTCGATTCCCGGCCGGGCGACCAGGGTCATGTCTGTGTGGAGTTTGTATGTTCTCTGCGTGGGTTTCCTCCGGGTACTCCGGTTTCCTCCCACACTCCAAAGACATGCAGTCAGGCCAATTGGACGTGCTAAAATTGCCCCTAGGTGTGACTGTGTATGTCTGTCTGTCTGCCCTGCGATGGACTGGCGACCTGTCCAGGGTGTATCCTGCCTTCCGCCCAATGACAGCTGGGATAGGCTCCAGCACCCCACCGTGACCCAGAAGGATAAGCGGTTTAGATGATGTATATATGTAGGTATCTATGTTTCAGGTGATACTTAAGCATGGCTAACTAAAGTTAATGACCCCATACTGTCCACTGCATTCTCTTAAAAGAAAATCTTACAAACTTGACACAGCTTGTTTGACTGTTTGTTTCTTCTGAAATTACACCAAATGCAATGAAAGCTTTAATTCAGTTTTTTTTTTCCAAAATATTCTAAAGCACAAAGACAATGAGATACTGCAGTTTTTCTATCGGTGGTTTGGGGAAATGCTCATAAAAATAGCATTTTTGTCTTTTACTGTCAAGTAATCATTTGTAACACTTTCCACTTCCTCTTTCCTTTGTCTTTTGCAGAGTTATATCGGTATGTGCACGGTGGAGGACCGAGGCCACGCTACAAAATCGATCTGTGCTTCGGAGAGGAGTTTCCTGACGCCAGTCAGCCAAAGAGCAGAAAACTCATAACAGCACAGGTGGGTGCTCAGAGCCCCAAAAATCATCCACAACAATATTATTGGAACCCTGTTCCAGAAATAAAAGTCGAGACTGAACAGTGTTCGTGAGATATGGGGAGTTAATGTGCAGACCTACGCCCTCTGCTGGTTGCAATCAAAACACTTGGAATCACCATCCATTTCTTCATAGAGCATTTTTAGATAATAAATTAAAGCTAGAGCAAAATATTGTGATGCTTCTCACTGCTATTTTAAAAATTTATCAGTGTGCATAAACTAGATCAAACTTTTTTATTTCGAAAATGTGAAGAAAATAATTTTTTTCATGATATGGTCCTTTGAACTTCTCTTCCTTTGAATGCCTTGATTTCATTTAGTCCCTTTTTTCTTTAAGTCTACACACTTGATGGTTCTTCAAGGATTCTTTAGTAAAGACAGGGGTTCTATATAGAACCATGAACACTCAAAGAACCTTTTGCATGATTAAAGGGTTCTTCGCATCATGAAATGGTTCTTCAGATTGATGGAGAATTAGTTGTATATGGTTCTATATAGAATCTTTTTGAAAAAGGTTCTTCTGTTGTGACGAGGTCAAGGGTACACCCTTTTTGGTGTAGGTGTTTCTATATAGAACCTTTTTGAAAAGGGTTCTGTATAGCAATCAAAAATGTTCTTCTACTGTTACAACCCTGACATCGTCCCAATAGAAGAACCCTTTTTGGTGCTATATAGAACCATATCTAACACATTCTCTATCAGTCTGAAGAACCATTTCACCATGCAAAGAACGCAAAGGGTTCTTTGCATGTTCACGGTTCTATACAAACCATTGTCGTTACTAAAGAACCCTTAAAGAATCATCTTTTTGAGAATGTACATTAGCCTTGTAGCTAATAAAGAAGCAAACTTCCTTCCTTGTTCCTTTAAGCTAATGAGGCTCTGTAAAAGTTTGGGCTGCGGTTCTGAAGCTCGGCCCCGGAGGCTCCATTCTTTGCACCTTTCAGTGTTTTCCCTTCACTAACACACCTGATTGCGCTTGGCTAATTAAGCCCTCGCTGAGCTGAGTCAGGCACGCTAGCGAAAACACAGAAGTGTGAATTTCGGGGGAGTTCACATTGCAGTCCTGTGATCAAGCTTCAGCTGTGTCATCAAAGCAGGAGAAGATTATATGACTGCTTTCACAGCACGAGTAACATTATCTGCTCTAGTGTTCAGCTCAGCCCTGCATACCTGTATTAAAGGACCCATATCATGGAATTTCCTCACTTTTTTAGAGAAATAATAAATAAAAGAATGTGCTGTAGTAACAATCCCAAGCCCATACAGTCCATGTGTGGAAACTAAGCTGCAGACACATCCTGTTTGCAATCCACGCTTTGCAATCCACGCCATGTCACAAAACTCATGCGTTTACTTAATAAACCAATTTAGCACCGCCCATTCAGGCTTAAGGTATGTGTTTCAGGCCATGCTGCTTTTTTTTAACCCCTTAACAGGCCATGAGCCTGTCAGCGGCATGGACATCCCTGTAGAAGATTTCAAGCGCTTAAATGAGATGCAATACAGGGCAGCCAATCAGAACACATTTACATATACATCTAAGAATAATACACTAACATATATCAATAAGAAATGTATCTAATTATAAGTGAAAAAGAATTGGATTGGAAAATTTCATGATTGGTTTTGTCTCACTAACAAGCGATTAATGTTTATTACTGGGTTTTGTTCAATAATTTATTTTAATGCAGAATGTGAAGCATGACGTCATTTAATGTTTCAGTAATTAATTCAGTAATTATTAGGAAACACTTCAAGCTGGTTTCTCATACTGAGATTGATCATAACTCGCGACTGAAGAGTTTCGGTATTGCAGTTTAACCCAAGACTGGGCCAAATCTCGGTGCTGGACGGCAGCCACAAATATTAACACAAGAATGAGTGAATGAAAGAAATACACAAACAACACTGATCAAAGTGCATGAGATACTTACATACTTGAGGAATAAAAGCAAACGCAGTAAATGTTTTGTTGGTGGTGTTGCTCTGTGAGAGATTAAATGGATGTCTATGAAGTGCAGGTTCTTCTTCAGCCAGTAGAGGGCGCCATAACACAGAAATATCTAGATGAACTGACATTTTATTTTTCTCTTTCTTTTTCTCTCTCTCTCTCTCTCTGTTTCTTTCTGTCCACTTTTTGGCCTCCTTTCTCTCCTTCTTTTCCTTTCTTTTTTCCTCTTTTTTCTTTTTCCATCACCTCTTTCTTTTTCTTTCTCTTACTTTTTGCCCTTTCTTTTTCTCTCCCTATCTCTGTCTCCCTTTCAATTTCTCTCACTCTTTATCCCTTGTTTCTCTCTTCCCTCGCTCTCTCCCTCTCTCTCGCTCCCTCTCTTTTTCCCTCCCTCTCTCCTCTCTCTCCTCTCCTTCTCTTTCTCTCGTCTCTCTCTCTCTCCCCCTCTTTCTTCTCTGTCTCTCTTTCTTCCCTCTCTCTTTCTCCATCTCTCTCGCTCCCTCTTTTTCTTCTCTGACTCTCTCTTTCTCTTTCACCCTCCCTCTCTCCTTCTCTCTCCTTCTCTCTCTTTCCTCTCTCTTCTTCTCTCTTTCTCTCTCTCCTCTCTCACATCTCTCCTTCTCTTTCTTTCCTGTCTCTGTCTCTTCCTCTTTTTCTTCTCTCTCACTCTCTTTCTCCTTCTCCTTTCTCTCTCTCTCTCTCTCTCTCTCTCTCTCTCTCTCTCTCTCTCTCTCTCTTTCTCTCTCTCTTTCTCTCCATCTGTGTGTAGGTGGTGCCCTTATTTGCTAAAGAGTTTCTTCTCCGTCATTCGGCCACTCAGCATCAGTCTGTGGACAGAAGAACAGACGCAGAAACCCAAAACGTCCAGAACATAAATCCATCTGTGATGGAGGCCAGGAGACCGTCGGAGCTGCAGAAGTGAGTTCTGTTCTCCAGAGCGGCTACAATAAACACACCAGCTTCAAGAAACAGATCAAAAACTGTACTTCTGTTTGCTTTTGTACTCTAAAGCATCCTGAAAAAAGCTATACAGCTGCAGAACTAACTGTGATCATTTTAGAGGAACGCTTCAGTCAGAAATGCTAACGTTGCTAAAAATGAATGAAAGCAAATAGCCAGCGGTTAGCATAGTGAATAACACGTTATGCTAACTACTGACTGCAGGTTTCTACACTCTTAAAAAAGATGGCTCTTCAAGGGTTCTTTCAGAAAGTACCCTTTGCATGATTAAAAGGTTCTTTGCATGGTGAAATGGTTCTTCCAGTAGTGAACATAATTTATATGGTTCTATATATAATCTTTTTAAAAATGGTTCTGTATGGCAACCTAAAAAAGTTCTCTTATTGTGACAAGCTTGACATCACAACAATAGAGGAATCGTTTTGGTGCTATATAGAACCATTTTCAAACAGGTTCTATATAGAACCATCCACAGCACATTCTCCATTTGAAGAACCATTTCACCAGGCAAAAAAAAAACTACTGTTGCACAACTGACATTGTCGCAATAGCAGACCCTTTTTGGTGCTATATAGAACAATATACAACACATTCTCCATCAACCTGAAGAACGATTTCACCACACAAAAACACATTTAAGCATTCGAATGGTTCTGTACGGAACCAGTGTTTTTACTAAAGAACTCTCGAGGAACCATCTTTTTCATAGTGTATGGTTCTATAGAGAACTTTTTTGAATATGGTTCTGTATAGCACCAAAAAGCATTCTTCTATTGTTATGATGTCAAGCTTGTAAAAATAGAAGAACCCTTTCAGTGCTATATAGAAGCATTTTCAAAAAAGTTCTCTATAGAACCATACACTCTTAAAAAGATGGTTCTTAGAGAGTACTTTAGTAAAAACATTGGATTCTCCATCAATCTGGGTCATGGTTCTATATAGAACCATTTCTTTACTAAAGAACCCTTGGATGTGTTGTTTTATAGAGAACTTCTTTGAAAATATATGCATATAGATAAATATTATATATAGAACCAATTTCCTTAGTGAGAAACCTGTGAAGAATCATCTTTTTAAAGGTGTATGGTTCAGTAGAGAACTTTTTTTGAAAATGGTTCTATGTAGCATCAAAAAGGGTTTTTCCATTGTTACAAGCTTGACATCACAACAGCAGACAAATTCTTTTTGGTGCCATATAGAACCATTCTCCATTAATCTGAAGAACCATTTCACCATGCAAAGAACATCACGTAAATGTTTTTTGAGTGTTCATGGTTCTATACAGAACCATTTTCTTTACTAAAGAACCCTTAAAGACCATCTTTTTCAAGAGTATAGTTATTTTAGCCATGGTAGCATGTTTGGTCAAGCTTCTTCTTTGGAAAGTGCCAGTACGTTTTCATATTTGTTCTTTAAAGTGTGATTTAGAGTCTGTTTTAGCAGAGCTGAAAAAAATAAACATATCACGATTTCCATCTTATTTTACCACCTGAAAATCTATACCACTGTAGCAGAACTTATTCTGCTTACTCTTGTCACATCTGTAGCAGGCTTATATTTTTGTACATATACAAGCTATGACATCAATCATGTATTTATTTAACCAATAATCAACATGTGCCTTGACTTCAATCTGCAATAAATTTCTCATACTATATAAATCTATAAAGCGTTCTTTTATTTCTAGCGAACACTGTATTACAGTCTCACAATTTTAAAAATATACAATTTTATAGCTATACATTTATAAAGAAAAAAAATAACATTCTGTTTTGTGGAAAAAAACAACAACAAAAAAAAATAAACTGAAAAAGAAACCTCTAAAGTGAAAGTGTGTGCTTGATCAAGAATTGATACCCGTATCTGAGTTCAAAATACTTTCCATAGTTTTGTTTTTCTTTTTTTTTCTTCTCTGCTCTCGATCGTACAGAAACATAAAAAGGGGAACAAAAGATAAACGAAGCACATTGCGAGGTCAAGTGCTCTCACGAAGCATCACTGTCCAATATGTTATTAGCACCGTTAAAACGCTTCTTGTGGACTGATTTTTTTGTTTTTTTTACGGAAAAACACCATAGGATTGTCTGCTTCTCGCTTTTCTCTCGTTAGTGTCTTTTCCCTTTTGTAAGAACACATTGGAGCGTAATGCTGAGGTGAATTAGCATGTTGACCCCACATTGAGAAGCTTGGCTAAAGGTTGCTGATACATTCACCTCGCCTGCCAGACTGAAGGCCGAGCTCAGTTCAGAAGCGTGAAATAAAACTGCATGTACAAAAGTAACCATATACTTTATAGTATTTTTTTTCAATATAGCATATTCATATAACACCTGTAATAAGATATATTCATATGTATATATATATATATATATATATATATATATATATATATATATATATATTTGTTCTTTTTTCCATCCAATATTATTTACTTTATAATACTGATTGAAAAGATTTACCCTGAAGAAAGAAAACACTGTCAGTAGGCATGGAACGACCATTACTAAAACAGACAGTTAACCGCGTGGCGTCAAAGACAGGTGATTTCTGATTGTCTCACGTAAAAGACTCGACAGTCGCGCTGTGCATTTTGGGCTTCACTAGCATTACGTTTATATATTTCCTCTGTCCACCCGTGTTAGCCGATAAAACGACAGTTCTTGAGGCCATGGCTATTCCAGAGTAACCATGAGGTCACCGACAAAATCAAGTTCATATGAAAATCCTCATGTGTGCTGTCAACTCCCGTCCGAGTGGAGGTGAGCGGTTGTGGTCGTGGTTGTGTCGAGGATTTGTGGAGACACAGGGAAAATATGGCTATGTTCACATTACAGGCCTGGTGACTCGATTCCGATTTTTTGCTCAGATCCGATCTTTTCTGTTCGGCCGTTATTTTTCTGAAAGTTTGGAATTATTTGTTTTATTAGTCACTTTTATTTTACATACAATATCAATAATCAGTTCTCGTGATCAATAACTCATGCTGTTGATTGATAACTGGTAGAATTAATCACTAACAGACTCTATTGACATATAACCTATGCTACTGACCAGTATTCAGTGCTCTTGATTGGTATCTCATGCTGTTGATTGATGATTTGTACAGTTGACCAATAACCTATGATACTGATCGGTAATCAATGCTCTTGATCGATAACTTATGCTATTGATTGATGACTTGTACAATAAACCAACAACAGACAGTATTAACCAATATCCTATGCTTCTGACCAATAATCAGGGCTCCTAATCAATAATGTATGCTGTTAATTAATTAATTGTACAATTAATCAATAACAGAAACTATTGACCAGTAATCTATACTACTGACAATTATTGCTCTTGATCAATAACTGTTGATTGATGATTTGTGCAATTACCCAGTAACAAACACTATTGACCAATAACCTATGCTACTGACCAATAATCAATGCTCTTGATTGGTATCTCTAGCTGTTAATTGATGGCTTGTACAATTAACCAATAACAGGCGCTTTTGAACAAAAACCTATACTACTGACCAATAATCAATGCTCATTATTACATGCTGTTGATTGATGACTTGTACAATTAATCAATAACAGAAACTATTGACCAATAATCTATACTACTGACAATCAAAGCTCTTAAACAACTCATGCTGTTGATTGATGACTTGTACAATAAACCAATAACAGACAGTATTAACCAATAATCTGTGCTTCTGACCAATAATCAATGCTCTTAATCGATAATGTATGCTGTTAATTAATAAATTGTACAATTAATCAATAACAGAAACTATTGACCTGTAATATATACTACTGACAATCACTGCTCTTGATCAATAACTCATGCTGTTGATTGATGACTTGTACAAATAATCAATAACTGAGACTGTTGAGGAATAATCTGTACTTTGAAAGAACATTGATTGATGTTATTAAACATGTATTTTTATATGTTTGGGACCAATGATGGGTTATTAAAAGATAAATATTATATCTATATATTTTGCTGTCGTTATCTGATCACTTTTAAAATATGAGGTACTCTGGGTATTAAAGATATTAATTTTATAACTTCATTCTTGATGTTACACATTTATTTTTTTAGTCATTTTAGAATGCAGTAGAGGTGCTGTTGAACTAAAAAATGTTAAATTTACCGCTAAAGATTTAGCCAAACATGCTAATCCAGCTCAGTGTGCTAGCTAACTCGTTTGGTAGCACACCTCTGTTCTCAGGGCTGTACAACACAGCGCTTTCTATTAAACATCAGGAGATTTATGAAATGGTTACTAAGGTTTTGGTTAGGGTCCAGATATTTTAATAGGAATGCACTCGGCCTTGGCTAGGCTAGCAAATTAGCAAACATGGAGCAGTTTCCTAGAATTTGAACAAGTAAATAAAGTGCCCTGGAAACAGAGGGATGACTCTGCTAGATTTCTAATTTGGCTTTTACTCATTTTAGCTCTGTCATATTACTAACATGGCATATTAAACAAAAACCAGCCGATCTGTTCTCTTTTGGACAAAGAGTTCATTTTAATGTCAACATTGCAAGCCACGGCACTTATGTTCTTATCTGACAGAACTGTGAACAGCATAAGCTACAATGCTAGCTAGATACTCTCACTTACCTAGTGTTTTAAATGAGTCTCACCTATATCATAATCTGCTCATTTTTTTGATGCTTTTTAAGACTTTGGAACACAATTGTTTTCCTGAAGGCTGCTTACTGACCACTGACTCTGTGATCTACCCTGTGATGCAATTAGCATGTAAAACACTGAGGCAAAAAATCAGATTTGTGCCACTTCAGACTCTGTAAGGTGATCCTACACAAAGTGACTCATATCTGCTTTCAATAGATCAGATTGTTGCATAAAAAATCAGATCCGTCACATTTTTAGGCCAAAAATTAGATTTGTGCCACCATGTAATGTGAACGCAGACAAAGTGGCTTATACCTGATTTCACAAGAACAGATTTCTGTGTGAAAAATTGAGATCTTTCACATTTTTAGGCGAAAAATCGGATTTGTGCCACTCTAAAACCTTGCAATGTGAACGTAGCCTTACTGCTGTCTCACTCGCTTACAGCCTTGAGGTAAATCCAGGCAGGTCCTGTCTCCAGCCTGCAGCTCTGGGGCGGACCAGCGTCTCTTTCGGGGGCGTGGCTTCTCCTGGCTCTGCGAATCAGAAGGAGGGATCTGGGTGGAGGGTGGAGGTGCGGGGGGTGGGGGCATCCGTTCTGCCCCATGTGTGCTGACCTGTGTGACCTCCGACCTTGTGGTGGTGCGGTCGTGCCCGCGTTGTGCCCGGGAGTGGGCGCGGTTTGAGGTGGCGCTGGCTGAGGTGGGCGTCGGGGTCAGTGCCAGGCAAATGTCGCCCGTGCTTAACTGGCGGCAGGGAAGGCCGTATAGCTGGGCGCTCCGCTGGGGGCTGCAAGAAGACCACCCACGGTCCCTCACGAAGAATGGATACTCCTCTAAAACGGTCAGTAATTCCTGCCAAAAGTAAAATCAACAAACAACAAACTTGTTAATGCAACAGTCTTGACTGTCAGCAATGCCAGCTACAACTAAATGGTCCAGTCTAGACACAGAGTAACACGGACTGTCACTCGCCAAGAAAAACAGTCCAAAAACAGATTCCCCTCTAAAGCAAAAAGTAACAGGCCAAAAACTAATTAAACAACTATATAAAACTTAAGACAGCTGGGGTGTTTTCAAAGAGGGTGCTTTTGTTCCTTAAAGAAGTTTAAACTTGTGATTTCTATCATATACTCCTCCTGGACTCTTTCTTTACAGTGTTGGTGATAGGCCAGGGGTCACCAAGACTACAACAGAAATATAGGCATTTTATTTACTATCCAAAACCAACAAAGAACCTGAACATGTCTTCTGAGTTTTATATGGTGCTGGGGAAATAGTCATAAATCTGGACTATTTGGCCTAATAACATCCTGTTTGCATCCATGCATGCATTTAAAATATAGGTTTTAGACAATATTAGACTAAAAAACTAAAACTACCATAAACCAATGTCTCAGACATCAGACAGTGTATTCATACCCATTTCATGTAATAACTTTCTGTGAGGGAGCTGAGAGGTGGACATCTGGTTCTTATCACCAGCACTGACTTGGTAAGTCACTTTAGAACAGAGCATTTCACACCAAACCACTCTGAATGACTCTGTTTACATCTTACCCTTTTCATTATGTAAAAATTTTGAAAATTCCCCTTTGACCTATGAAACTCTTTCAGTGCTTTTTTTTTTTGCACCATTTGACCGTTTTGAAAATCCCTCCCGCATTCCATGATGAAAGGTCCAGTAGAAAAGGACCAAATCTTCAGCATATGTGGAGTAAAATATTGTTCTGTAGGCCTCCATTAAAGGTAAAGGGCAACTCCACCAATTTTTCAACACTCAAACATAATTTAATGAATATGATGTGAACAAATTTCTAAGGAAACTTACGGAATCAGAATTGTTCACAGTGGAGGTGATAGGAACCAGACGTCTACTTCTAACAGCTCACAGAAGCCCTCATAGAAAGTTGCATGAAATGGTTGTGAATACACTGCCTGATGTCTGAGACATTTTAGGATAATTTTGAGAGAATTTTGGCTTTTTTTTTTAATCCATTCATGGTGGAGGGATACATATTATGCAGAAATAGTCCCCAAAGAAAACTTGTTATTTCAGATCTTCCCTTATTTTACCATCATCAACATTCCATATAAAAAGACACAGGAAGGTTCACCGGTGGTTTAGAATAAAATGCCTATATTTGTGTTGTAGTCGTGGTGACCCCCTGGGTCCTATCACCACCACTGTAAAGAAATCTGAGCCATTCACACCAAACCACTCTGAATGACTTTCTCAACCACAGAATTCTGAAGAAATTTTCGATACATTTAAAAATGAAATTCCCTTTTAATAATCCACTTTTTCCATCTTGGTTGAAGTTAATAACAAAATCTTAAAATATATTCTTTTTCTGTGAGCTATTGAGTCTCCATTGAATTGCATAATACTTAATCTCACTGTGTTCCCAACTTTAGACCTTTTTCACTGTGAGTGGCTTCTTTATGATGGAGTGTTAGTAGCATTTAATCACTTCCGCTCCACATGACTGCAGCAGTAGTGATGTTATTGTAGCATATCACAGCACTCAAACACTAAGCTATGACATATTTTAAATTTTGTCATACCTGAATGACAAATGGAAAATGGAAAAGTGGATATAATCAAATCAAAGTACTGATTTTAATGGAGAATGTGACACAGCAGTTGCTCTCTCAGTGAGTGTGAGATATGGGGAGTGAATGTGCAGACCTACGCCCTCTGCTGGTTGCAATCAAAACGTATTGAATCACCATTCTTTTCTCCATAGAGCATTTTTAGCTAATAAATTAAAGCTAGAGCAAAACATTGCGGTGCTTCTCACTGCCATTTTGAAAACCTGTCAGTGTTCACATACTAGATCAAACTTTATTTCAAAAATGTGAAGAAAATAAGTTTTTTCATGATGTGGTATGGTATACTTATTAGCAGACTTAAAGTCACTGGAACCTGATCCAAAGGAAAGTGACCATCATGACAAGGTGGAGATTGAATTGGGCAGATGAGAAAATGACTAAATAAAAGTGAAATATGTGAGAGTAAGGAAAACGACAGTGCTACGGAAACAAAAAACTAAATGAGAAGCAGTAGGATGAAACGTAAAGATGAGAGAGATAAAAAATGACCAGTTAATATGTGTTCATATCAGGTATCTTAGAGGGCAGTGCACTCAGAAAAACACAACCACCCAGCGATACCCTAGCCACCACCTGGAACACCATAGCAACCAGGGAAGACACCATAGTAACCACCCAGCAATATCCTAGCAAGCATCAACGATAACATAGTAACCACATAGCACCCCAGCAACCACTTGCAATACCATATTAACCACTAAATAAGACCATAACAGCCACCTGGAATGCCATAGCAACACCCTAGCAACTGCCTAGCAACCACAAAACAACAAACTAACAACCACCTCCTATAGCACAACACGCAGCAACACCTTAGCAACCACCTGGAATAACATATTAATTGCTTATAAACAAGCATCTTAAAATAAATAGCAACCACCTAGCCACACTTAGCAACCATCTGGAATAACATACAAACTGCTTATCAACAAATACCTTGAAATAAGGTAGCACCCACCTAGCGTCACTTAGCAACTACCTGGATTAAACCCCTGGAATAACACATGAACTGCTTATCAATAAACACCTTAAAATAAGATAGCAACCACATAGCGACACTTAGCAACCACCTAGGATAACATGTGAACTGCTTGTCAACAAGCACCTTAAGATAGCAACCACCTAGCAACACCTTAGCAACCACCTGAAATAACCACCTGGAATAACATATGAACTGCTTATAAGCAATCACCTTAAATAACATAGCAACCACATAACAACATTTTAGCAACCACCTGGAATAACAAATGAACTATTTATCAACAAGAACCTTAAATAAGATAGCAACCACCTATCAACACCTTAGCAACCACATGGAATAACATATGAACTGCTTATCTACAAGCACCTTAAAATAAGATATCAACCACCTAGCGTCACTTAGCAACCACCTGGGATAACATGGCAACCGCCTAGCCACATCCTAACAACCACCCGAAAACTCTACCTTCCTTAAACTCAAGGTAAATCGTTCCTCTTCCTTATTCTTCCCTAAACTGACGTATTTCCAAGTGAAACTGGCTACTCAGGTGGGATATAATTGTAAGTAGGACATGATTTTATTCTTTAGGATTTGACTGGATCATGAAATATGGGCTTTCCAGAGCGAACACCTCAGAGTAAAGTTAGACTGTGATAATCAGCAGAAAAGCCAAAGGAAAAAATAAATAAAAACAACCAGATTTTGTCAAAAAATTAGGCAGTACAATATTTTGATATATATTTTCTGTAGTTTCTGCAACACAATCATTAACTGTTGAAAGCTTGAATTTATTATGTTGTTTTTTTTAATATGTAGAGGAGGCGCCGCGCCAGTTAGTAGTCTAGCCCTTTAGTGTCCACTCTGCTCTAATTTTTCTAGCACTTTCACTGCAAAAGCAAGAGAAAAGGACTTCAGACAAAAGTAGTCAGGTTAAATAATTCCATCTACAAGTGTAATCACCTAATGTTTGAGCGAGAGATGGACTGTGTGTGTGTTGGTGCATGTCACTTCTTCACCAGCTAACTCCCTTTTAGCCTCTCAGCCTCAGAAAACTTTAGAAAACAGCCCATATACTGCCAGATATCTGTACTTCCTCACTCCTGTTAACATGAACACATTTTTTCAACCAGTCCAAACACTGAAAGAGAGAGACCAAAGTGAGGAGGTCTGCCGGCATCATCACGGCATTCCTGTCTCATTAAGTTTGTGTTATATTAAAAAAAAACTCTCAAAACTCTCAGCTGTGGAGCACAGCTCTGCCACTTCTGCTAACACTTAACCGGAAAGACACACGGCTTTCTGTGAGAAAGGTCTGTTATCAGCATTTGTGATCGTGGAGGATCCGCGTGTGAAGTTTCACTTTGAACAAGCTGAAATATCATTTTGTTAAATTCATAACCGTATGGTTCACAGAAGCACTGGTGCTGACGTTTGGCTGGTCCTGAGCTGACACACTAAAACTGAGAAAACAGCCACTCTAAATATAGCGGTAAGCAACGATTACGGGACCCAGTGCGAATGGGGAACCGTCGATATGAGGCCGAGGCTTTAAGGAGAAGTGAAATACCCACTAACCTATTAGACCATCACTCACACTCAAATGACACAGTAGATTAGGATGGAAAGGAAGGCTGGTATTCTGCTCGTCACACGTTTTGGCAGAGCTTAAACATGTGATAAACAGATGAAAGCTGGAGCCAGATTGTGCTGTTTGAATCTGAATGTCATTTTTATTCCCAGGAAATCATCTAAATAATCTAAATAGCATATTAAAATGGGAAATTTGCCTAAAAAATATCAAGATTTGCAGATATTCTGAAAGACATACTTAATAAGATAAGCGGTTTTACAATGAAAAGGATTTTCAGTGGGAAATCCCCACTGCCTAAAGATGAGCCTAGAACTGAAATAACAACAAGAAGCGTTCTTTGGTAAAGGCAATGGTTCTGTATAGAACCATGAACACACAAAAAAAAAAAACATTTGCATGCTTACAATGTGTTTTTGTGTGGTGAAATGGCTCTTCAGATTGATGGAGAATGTGTTGTATATTGTTCTATATAGCACCAAAAAGGGTCTGCTATTGCGACAATGTCAGTTGTGTAACAGTAGAACATTTTCAAAAGAGATATGATGTTTTTTAGTAAAGACAATGGTTATATCTAAAACCATGAACACTCAAAGAACCATTTGCATGCTTAAAGGATTCTTTGCATGGTGAAATCATTCTTCAGATAATGGAGTGTTGTACTGGGTTCTAGGTAGTACCAGAAAGTGTTCTGCGATTATGACGATGTCAAGCGTGCAACAGTAGAGCATTTTTAAAAAGGATGTGATGTTCTTTAGTAAAGACAGTGGTTCTATCTAGAACCGTGAACACTCAAAGAACCCTTGGCATGCTTAAAGGATTCTTTGCATGGTGAAATGGTTCTTCAGAATGGTGGCGAAAGTGCTGTAGATGGTGCTATATAAAAAAGGCTCTGTATAGCACCAAAAAGGGTTCTACTATTGTGATATTGATAAAGTGTGCTGTATATGGTTTATATAGAGCCTTTTTGAAAAGCATTCTATATAGCACCAAAAAGGGTTCTGCTATTTTTACAAGTTTGACAATAGCAGAACCCTTTTTAGTGCTAAATAGAACCATACACAACACATTCTCCATTAATCTGGTGAACGATTTCACTAAGCATTTAAGGGTCCTTTAGGTGTTCCTGGTTCTATATAAACCATTTCCTTTACTAAAGAACCTTTGAAGAACCATTTTTAAGTGTGCATATTCCGTGATTCCTGATATTCTACACAAAACATTACAACATCTTCATTCTTAATACGTAAATAGTTTAAAAGCATGTGAATCACTGCGAGGTTTATTTAAACTCTGCTTGCTGTTGTAAACGGAGAACCGGTGATGTATATTAGAGCACAGTTTGAAAGCTGTGTTCTCAGTTCTGCTGACCTCACCCTCAAATATTCTATCATGTATAAGAGATTCTCCTTATAAACTCCTGCTGTGGTCTTAAAAGAACCCCCTCTTGTTGAGTGCAAGCGAGAAAGTTTTCTTAATATAGCCAGAGGCACAGAGGATAAATTAGTATGTATCACATGAATAAATTAGTGTCACCAGAACAGAAGAACAATTTAAATTCAGCAAGTTGTGCATCTCACTGATTTAGAATTCAAATAATATACAGTGGAAACACATACAGATATTTCTCTACTGGATTTCCTTAAACCAAATTAACGCCTATTTAAAACAGTCAATATCTAAGTAAAATAAAGTTTCACATGACAATAAGTGATAATATTAGGTTAACTTTATTTATGAACCACTCTAAATAGTTCAAACCGTGCTCCCACAGTAAAAAAAACTATTTATAAAAACAATAAAGTATTCAGACCTTAGACAATTACAACTATTTTGTTGTGATGTATTTAAACCAAAGGCATTAATAGAGATAGTAATAAGCTAAACATATAAACCATCATCATTTAGAGGGTACTTCTACTGGGAGGTGTCTGTCCCAAACCATAACCCCTAAATTTAGACTTTTTTAAAACAAAAAAAAAACTTTATTCAAAAAATGCTCATCACTACCATAACACAGAATTTTGGTTTGTAGGCAGAGCCTTACTTTAGCCACGTCCCTACATTTTAGAGCAGGAAGTGAGGCTGCATCCCTGTCCTTCATGGCCTCATGGTGAGCAGTTAGATCCCATTTTTGGAAGTAAATGCGTCCCAAATTCTGAAAATGAGTGTGGAACGTTAAAAAATGTCCACAGCGAAACAAAGATTGTCAACTTGTTTATGTTTTAATGGAAAATATGATGCTTTAATGTGTGTACAGCTGTTCAAAGCTGTGTTTGCTAGTCATGTACTGGCTGCGTTTTGTAACTCAAAATGAGCTACAGTTGTCACTACCGGAACAGTCATTACTGAAACATTTGCTAAAGTTGTTTTGGTAGTAGAACATGGCATTTTCATTCATTAGTTTTAATAACATAAACATGATTAAGGTAGAGGGTCACTCAAAGCAAAAGGATTTTAGGCTGAAGTCCAAGTTTGTTAAAAGTCCCAAATGTGTTTCAGCTCTGACTTTGAATCAGTCTAATAAAACACAAAGTTAAAAAAACATATTTTAGTGCATACTTTTCTATTTATTTTCTAAACCTTGTATACAACTGTATATTATATTAAAGTAATTTTATTTTAACTTTATTTTCAGTGTTCTACTGCTTTCTTAGTCATCAATGAATCATCTACAGCTCTATTCATCTTGTGTAGACTACATCAAAAATATCTTAGATTTTTGTCTCTCCCTACTAATTACCCAAACCTTGTAAAGGTGTGAAGTACCAGCATCTTAATGGAATCATTTTATACATGTACACGCAATATTTTTATTGAAAACTGTGAACTTTTGAATGCTAGAGAATATATGTGCAGTTTTCTACACTTTAGGAATGTAGAAGACAATTCGAGGTAAAATATAATGCTTACAAATGAAACACTGTAAATTAACCAAATGAGTCTTCAATTCCTTTTTCTATCTAAGTGATGAAATGACTCACAATTTGATGATTTATATCAGTACCAGTCTTGCTAGTTATATAATATTTCAAAAATGCCACAAGTTCAGAGATTGCATAGTGTGAAGATGTTGCAAAACCAGCCAACATCAAATGAAGCAGTGGTACCTAAAGTTTGCTTGCTATACAGGCCTGGGTTGTAGCGTCATGAAGAAAAATGGTGTGAAAATCTGTGCAAACCAGCTGTTTACTTCTGCTTAGCAAAGCTAAAACATCACCAAAGGGAAATGCCAAGGTGGTGAGCAGAAAAATCACAGAACATAACAAATACCATGTTCACAGCAATATTACATTGTAAAACCAGGGTTATTTTCAGGTCTTACATCGATCATTACTAAGAATATTGGATTTATCAGCTTATACTTCCAATTGAATTCAACAGAATTTACAACCACTGCTGTTCACCACTGCTTCTGGATAATGGCACAGGAAACCAGCAAGCAAATAACAAAAGTCTGACTGAAGTCATGCTGCATAAAAAGTTCACCACATGATATTATCACAACTACAGGACATCCACATTCTTCATCCACGTCAACCTTTTTGAAGGTGACAACAGCTTAAAATGTTACAGCTATGGGCCATCATTTCCAAGACCTTTTCTTGTGAATATTTTGTAACTTGATTATTCTCTAGAACAACCCTCCCCTGGAGATCTACATCCTGCAGAGTTTATTTCCAGCCTGCATCTAATAAACTGCCCCAACCTAACCCAACACTGATGCATCTGATCCAACCAATCAAAAAGTTCTGACGAAGTTAATTAGCTGTGGCAGATTGTGTTTGCAGGAAGGTAGATCTCCAAGACCAGGGTTGGTGACCACTGCTCTAGGATTAGGCTAAGGTACTCTCTCTACCTGCTGGACCTACCTGAGTGTTGCGGTCAGCAAGCAGAACCTGCAGATGGTTGAAGCCGTCAGCGGGGCCAGGCGAGATGAGTAGGATGGTGCAGGTACTCAGGTGGAACTCAGGTGAGGTGTCAGCGCTGTGCAGAAAATCCTCTGTCCGCAGCTCTTCCACCCTCTTCAGACGGCCGCTGGCCAACTCAATAAGGGAACCCTTGGCGAAATGAGGTAGGACTGCACTTGGGGGTGGGTCGGGGCCACTGAGGATTGAAACCGAAGGACGGTAGGATCCTGGAGAAAGCTCCCGCTCCTGATCGGTCCCATGGCTGTTGTGCTGAGAGTGTGGAGAGTGTTGGGAGTTCCTCAAAGGAGAAGGAGGGGGACCTGAGGGGCTAAGATTGGCGAGCGCCTGAGGGTTCTGGTGAACAGAGGAGTACAGTGACCCCAGGGAGTAGTAGATCTGAGCTCCAGTCTGGGAGGCACTTCCACTGGAAGGTTCATGAGGAGCTGTTGCCTTACCTGTCCGTGAATCGGAGGTGTATACATGGGGATTGGGAGGTTTGGGCATTCCCAGAGTCCTAGGGTCCCTGTCAGGCTCTTGTAGGAAGGAATGTGCATTAGGACCCTCCTGGGACAGGGTACCTCTTCCTGTACTGCGGCCTGCCAGATCTTCTTGATGCCTCTTCCTACCATTGGAATGGGAGCCACCACCCAGTCTGGATCGGGCATCATTTCCACAGTCTGAACTGGAAGCTAGCCTTGAGCTTGATTCGGACCTACTTCCTGGGCCGTCCAGACCATTGGGCCTCCTGCTTGGGTACCTGAGCCTGCTGTCTGAGAGAAGATCAGGGGGGTACATTGAGGGCTGAGGAAAGAGATGATGGGAGGAGAAGAGAGAGGAGCTGTATTCTCGCCTCGTGGGTCCAAAATAGGGCCACATATCCCTGGACTCGACTGCATAAGCGCTCTTGAAGGTAGGCACGGAGATTGGTGGCTGCAAACCCAAAGGAGAGATGTCGCCCCGTAGCCAGCGGGAGTGATGTGGGATTGGTGGAGGTTCGGTTCCACTGTCTCTCCAAGATGGTGATCCTGACCCACGTCTTTCCCCTGCCTGACTGGGCAGGAATGGGTGGTGGATGGAGGATTGATAGGGAACCTGCCATGGCAGTCCCAAGGAAAGTGGCGGCAGTGGGGGTGGTGGAGGTGGAGGGGGTGGGAGAAGATCTTTATCAAACCGCGAATCTCCACCACTTTCCCTGCCCTCGGACACTTGTTGTCGCCGGCTTCGGAGTGGCGCCGGGTGTTTAAAGTCGTCCTCCAGGGGCCGCTGTTCAGACGAACCCTGTCGGGACTCCCGCTTTTTCGGGGGGAGGCACTCTTTGCCGCGGTCCGGGCTGGGATTCATGGGGTACTAAACCCCAGGCCTGAGGGGCCGCACTAGGTCACATGGGCTGCTGGGGAGAAAGAGGGGTGTGGAGAGAGACGAACAGCATCCCTGCTGAACAGCATCACGCAAAACCCACACCTCACACGGCCCTGCACTCAGAACGTCTCACCTGAGAAAGAAAGAATAAGAGAGAAGGTAAGTAGGGTAATGTTGTAATTACTATTAATTGAGCTTCAATGTAGTTCTTTGATCTTATATAGTTACAGTTAATGGATTGAAGTTAAAGTTGTAGTTACAGTTCATAGATTGTAGTTAATGTTGTTACAGTTAATAGATTTTAGTTAATATAGTATTTGCAGTTCAGGGATTGTATTTAATGTTGCAGGTACAGTTAATGGATTGTAGTTAAAGTTGTAGTTACAGTTAATGGATTGTAGTTACAGTTCAGGGATTGTATTTAATGTTGTAGTTACAGATAATGAATTGAGTTAATGGAGTAGTCACAGTTAATGGATTCTAGGTAATGTTATAGTTACAGTCAATGTAGTTATTATTTGCATCTTAAATCCATAATCTGTTCAGTGCATTTTTGAAACTTCTCCATGCGGATGACTCTGTGGTCACTTTTACCAGTCACTGACAGTAAGAGTGTTCTGGTCTGTGAGGGTTTTAGTAAAATCCAGTGTGCGATTGTGGCTGTTACAGAAAACCTCAACAATCTGTGGGCACACACACACAGCGGCCTGCCTGGCCGAGACACTAGAGACTGAACCGATCTAAATATAACTCATATGTGATTGCCACCACGCTACAACACAATATGAACGTGCTAACACAGACTGATGCATATGGTGAGATGGAAGGACGCCGTGGGAGAGATACGGCTGCACTCAGAGGAGGACAAGCAATGATAAGTTTGTTCTGCTGACTGAACTGTAGTGGAAATCCACTGAGTCGTCACACGCTTCACTCACTCACACCACACCGTCAGCCACCGTTACCGTAGCGATCGAACGAGCCAGTCGCCGCCCACCCCTGATTGCCATAAGCTCACCACAGGGTGTGCGGGGGCGACTGTGTGAAAAGAATGAGAGAGAGAGAGAGAGAGAGAGAGAGAGAGAGAGAGAGAGAGAGAGAGAGAGGTGAAAAAGAATGAAGGGAGACAGAAAAAGAGGGATGGAGGTGAAGATAAAGAGAGAAAGAAAGAAAGGAAAAGACAGAATGAATGAGAGGCATGAAAGAAAGAGGGAAGCATAGAGAGGGAGAAAGAGGAAGAGATGAAAGGGAATGATGGAAGGAGAGAGAAAAGGAGATGAAGTTGAAAACAGAGAAAAAAGGAAAGAAAATGAGAGCGGAATGAGAAAATGAGAGAAAAAAGAATGAGAAGAGGAAGACGAAATTAGAAGGGAGAGCGAGTGAGAAAAGAAGGGATCGAGGTGAGGATGGAGATATGTGGAGAGGAAGGGAAAGACAGAGAAAATGAAAAAAGGAGGAGAGATAAAAGTACAGAAAGAAGGGTAAGGATAGAAGGAAAAAGAGAAAGTGAGAGATAAACTTGGGAGTGAGAGAAAGGGAGAGGGAGAAAAGTATGTAAGGAAAAAAGAGAGGGATGAGAGAAAGAAGAGACGAGGAGAGAAGGAAAAAAGAAAGCGAGAGATAAATGGATGAGAAAGAAAGAATAAGGGATGTAAGGATGGAGAGTGAAGAGAGAAACGGAGAGAAAATAAGAAATGACAGAGAGGAAGGAAAGGGGGAAAAAGGAGAGATGGATAGCAAGAAGGGGATGGAGACATAGAGGGAGGAGAAAAGAGATAAACAGGACAGAGAGGGAAAGATAGAAAAAAGAGAGGGAAGAGAGATGGAGGCTAAATTAGAAAGTGAGAAATAGGATAGAGAGAGGGATGGAGGGAACGATGATAGAATTACTGAGGTTAAGGATAGATAAAGGAGAGAGAAACAGGGTGGATAGAAAGGGAGACGGAGAGATGGACAGAAAAGAAGGGTGAGAGTGAGTGAGAGAAGGATTGAGAGAGAATAAGTAGAAAGTAGGAATCAGGGGAGGGAGAGGTGGATGCAAAGATGGATAGAATGAGAAGAACAAAAGGAGACAGAAGGATAGAAAAATGAGAGAAAATAAAAAGAAAAACAGGGTGGATAGAAGAATAGATGGAGAGATGGACAGAAAAGGAGGGTGAGAGAAAGATGGGGAGATTAAAAGAGTAGAAAGTGAGAAACAGGAAAGAGATGGATAAAGAATGGGAGAAGAAGAGAGAGAGAAAGAAAGAAATGAGAGAAAAGAAGAGAAATGGATGAGAGAGGGAAAAGATGAGGAGGGAAAGAAAGAAAAATGAGAGAAAAGCAGAGAGAGATGAGAGAGAGAAAGAAAGAGAAATGAGAGAAAAAAAGGAAAGAGAGATAGGCAGGAGAGGGAAGAGAAAGAGGGAAAGGAAGAGAAATGAGAGAAAAGAAATAAGAGATGGATGAGAGAGGGAAAAGAATGAGGGAAAGAAAGAGAAATGAGAGAATAGAAGAGACAGAGATGGATGACAGCGGGAAAAGAGAGAGGGAAAGAAATAGAAATGAGAGAAAACAAGAGAGAGAGATGGACGAGAAAGGAAAGAAGAGAGGGAAATAAAGAAATGAGAGAAAAGAGGAGAGAAAAAGATGGATGACAGAGGGAAAAGAAGAGAGAGGGGAAGAAATAGAAATGAGAGAAAAGAAGAGAGTGATGGACGTGAGAGAAAAGAGAGAGAGGAAAAAAGAGAAATGAGAGAAAAGAAAAGAGAGAAACAGGGTGGATAGAAGGATAGATGGAGATATGGACAGAAAAGGAGGGTGAGAGGGAGTGAGAGAAAGATGGGGAGATTAAAAAAGTATAAAGTGAGAAACAGGAGAAGGATGGATGAAGGGATCTGGAAGGATAAAGAAATGAGAGAAGAGAGAGAGAAACGGGGGTGGATAGAAAGATAGCTGGACAGAAAGGGAGTGAGTGAGAGCGTGAATGAGGGAGGGATGGAGGGATGGAGGGGGATGTAAGTGTTCTTCTTTCATTCACATATGTATGTGTGGGGGCGTTTCTGTAATGTCTCTAAATTAGACACTTTGATGTTTGTGTGCAGCGCTGCCGGCACATCTGCTCTCCTTTCACTCCTCCGTCTACAGTCTGCCCAGACTGCACCGCCACCCGCTGCCGTCGCCATGGAAACTGAGTCCATACATCCACGCGGAGGATGTGTGTGAGTGTGTGTGGGGGGGTTATGCAGGGATACGAGATGCAAAACACACACAAACTCTACTGAACAAACTGCAAAAAGTTCTCAGAAGCAGCTCTGTAATCTCTAACGCCACTCTCTTCTAACATCCACAGCATCAGCATTGAAGCGATAGTTCACCAAAATTTCATTATGATTCAACCGCTAAGTTGTAAACAGAGTCCTTCTGAGTGGTTTGGTGTGAAATGCTCCATTCTAGAGAAACTTACCACACAATTGTTCACAGTGGTGGTGATAGGAACCAGACGTCCACCTCTAAAAGCTCCCTCACAGAGCTCCCTCACATTACATGAAATGGTTATGAATACACTGCCTGATGACTGAGACAAAAAACTGATTACTTTAGATTTTCCACTATTTTCCCATCATCAACATTCCATATAAAACGCAGAAGACACCTGTAGGTTTGCTGGTGGTTTTGGATAGTAAATAAAATGTCTATATTTGTGTTCTAGTCATGGCGACCCCCGGTTCCTATCACCACCACTGTAAAGAAATCTGGACCATTTCACACCAAACCACTCTGAATGACTCAAACACTGAATTATGGAGAAACTCAGTGGAATTCCCTTTAAATCAAGTCCATATAATCTAATGCACCCAATTATTATACATTGGTGTAAGAATATTATAAGGTTATACAGCTTATTTCAGTTTGTCCTATTCTATTGGTGGATCATTGTGCTTGTTTTAAGACATAATGCTTAACCGCCCATTTAAAATCTCTTAAAAAATCTTGCAACATTCTTAGGACAGTCTCAAACTGAGAAATATTAACACTCCTGCTATGTTACAGGTAAAATTGACCTGTTATAAAGTTTAAAGATACAGGAAAAATAAATAAATAAACAAACAACAACAAAAACAACATTCTGCAATTTGCTTTTTAATGAGAAACGAGTGTATTATTATTAAGTAATTATTAAGATCATCAATTATTAAGTAATTGATGATCTGTAATGGGTTAAAAAACAACTTGATTACACAAAAACATGATTAAATTCATACTAACTGAGCTAAGGATGATGTTTATGGATAAGTTATTTTTTAAACTACTTTCGGGTGGTTAAACATGCAATTTGACCTGGGAACATTATTGCGGTTTCTTACAGCTGAACATAACAGGAGGGTGAAACATCAACAAGATTTAGGGTGTTTTCACTGCAGCTGTGAGCCAACATGCAATAGAAGCATGCTGTATATATGCTAATTAGCATGGAGCTAACTGCAATCATCACATGCTCGCTTCAAACTGTTCTGTTAAGTAATCTCTAATAGACTTGCTTATGTGGTTTCTGACACTGTTATCTACAGTTGTATGCAAAGGTTGGTCATATTACATGTTTTGCTGTGCACATCCTCTGTAGAGACTTCACATTAACTGCACATTTTAATGCTAATTACAAAAAACTGCAAAAGTTGCAAAAGTTATGGCACATTTAATGTGTTATGCTTTATTTATTAATAGAAATAGTGCAGTAACACTTTACTGTAGGATAATCGTCTTAAGGCTTAATCACACACATAAGCTTATGACAACTGACATAACCTTGCATAAATGTTTCTTAATGCTTATTCCAACAGGCACAATTCGCTATAAAGGTTACATTTGCCAGTTTTCATCAAAGTTAGCTAAAGTTGTCTTTATGACAGATGACACCTATTGGAAAAAGCATTTATAAAAGTTTATGTAGGGTTATGCCAGTTTTCAAGTTTATGTAGGTGTCATAGAGCCTTATGATCAGTACCCAACACTAAAGTGTTACCCTTTTGCACAACCTTTTGCATGACACTATCATAGCATAGTTCCCAAAAGATGCCGAGATAGGGGTTTCCATATTAAAAATATCAAAAGAAAAAATACCCCATTTACGTAACGAACACCTGCAGGTGTTTG